AATACGGTACAGGATGAAGAAATTGGAGCACAACCGCTGTTTTTGACTGCCTAATTTACAGGTGATACTAGTATTCTGGTTAAACAATTAGCACTTTGCTGTACACTAATCGTGACGTTGAAGAAACTCATCATGTAGTTCTAAACGGAAAAAAATTTGATTTGAAGCTGCGGTTTGTTTCGTTTAAATTGATAACTTGTTGGCATTAAATACGATGTTCATGAAATTGACTGTTGCAATTTAATGTCAGCTGTCACAGCAAACTAACTGTTGTCACTCTTTTAGGGGTTAAAATGTGAACTGGGTGCAGGTTTCTTTTCAGCTGCTTTGTTTTGGGATGTAAAAGTTGTAACGCAGTTGAGTAGTTTGAGTAAAGTTTTATAAAGGCTAAGCAAAAATTATACAGATTTGTACTTCTGATAGGCTGATTTGGTGTCTGTAGTGTGTGAATGCTTGGAAATGCTGTGTTCAACCACCAAATAAATCTGTCATAATTTTATTGTAACTATCATCAATTAGGATAACTGTTACCGATATGACAAATGAAAACTTATCGTACTTTTAATTAAAGTGTAGGGGTTATGGTACAGAAGAACCACAAAGGGATGAGTAAGCCAATTGATATTGTTGAAGTATTCTTCTATTTTGTCAAACGTATTGAATTGAAGTTTAAAAGCAGACAGTTTTTTTCCAAGCTTTTATCAATAAAATCAATTAAAGGGGAGCAGAGGAGAAAATGCAGGAAACTGAGAAAAAATGAAAAGTATTTAGGCTGTTATACTAAATCTGTTTAGTAGCCTGAACGTTTGTTTTGAAAATATTGTCATCTGATGCGTATTTATATACGTATGTATGTACGTATAAATGTGTGTACATAAATGCTGGGAGGACATTTGTTCGTATTATTGATGATAAATTGTTGGAGTAATTTGGTGTGAAAAAAGTTTTTTTTTTTTGCTACAGGCTTGAAACTGGTTTCTTGTCAATTTGTAGTCGACGGGGTGTTCACTTTTTAGTGAACTCAACCAAAATGATGTTGGTGATGTAAGAAAATAACTTTATTGGAGCGGAAAGGACCATGTATCGTCAGCTGCTAATAATACCTTTGCTTTTTTCAGCTTTGCTCTGCTGTACCTATGAGGGTATCAAGCGTCAAAACGGTGAAAAATGGGTACGGTTTTAGCGCTCATTCACTTTTTTCTTATTTTTTGGTTTATTTGAAGTCAAAAGGTTCAAGAAAAAGAAGATTACTTTTCTTGTTTTAGTTGTTGAACTTTGGTCAGTGTTAAAATTTGTTACTTTTAGCACCTTTTTTTTTGATGGTTGTTATCCTTGCTGATAATATTGCTGTGCAGTGATAGGTCAGCTAATCTGTTGACTGATAACAAACTAGTTAATGGTGCAGTTGAACGTTCGGTAAACTACACACTGATTCTAGGTTTAGCGGTGTCAGATAAATGGCAGAAGTTTCTTTACGAAAAGTAAATTTTTTTACTTTTTTTTTTACAACTACAAAGATAACACCATTTGATGATATCACCAAAAAATACCGAATAGCCTATCTGTGACGGATCGGTGATGTTTGATAACGATAATTTGTGTTGATAATGTCTGTGATGATGCGTAGAAGTTGTGCGTGGTTACCATTTGGATATCTTAAGTTGGAGAAGAAGAGAAGTTAAAATTGTTATCTGACGTCTGATAACAGCAATAATAAAGCAGTTAATGACTAAATTAAACAGTCAGAAAAACCTGAACAAGTGGTAAAATGATGTTTTTTTCTTATTTTTGGAAATATAAAGCATTAGGTAACTGTTTCTTATCAGTTATAGCTTAGCATCGCTTTAAATATGGTTTTCAACTGTTTGTTTTAACAAAAATTCTATTGCCCAAAACGTTATTTGTTTTCAGTTCTTTTTATAAATTTTTTTTTAATTTTAAATGTTCGTTTAAAGATTCAAAAACGACAGTAGTAAAGTTATATTATAGAAAAATTCTTGATTTATTACAGCTATTAGAAAAATAACAAATTTACAGCTATTTGATTAGCTAAAAGAGGCAAAAAATATTTATCAAAGTTAGCCCGTCAACCTTCTGTGAAACACTGAAGACGAAAATAAACGATCAAAGGCTATTTTATAGAATATCTATCTTAGACTGTACGGTCAACATTTATTATGGAGTGTACGATACGTAACGATGGTTCATGGACAGCAAAAGTTGTTGGCTGTAAAACACCGTATGGGCGGTCGTTGTTACCTGGTGAGCAGTATACGGAGACTGGAATAGTAAGTGATTGGGAAATATTTATAGCACAAGGGGGAAAGATGCAAATATGATGGGAATTATTTAATTGATAAAAAAAAACTATGAACTAGTAATCCGAAATTCATTTTTAGTTACTGATGAACGATCTTTTTGTTGATTGCATACCGAATGCTCTTTTCTTCTTGTTTATCCGTCAAAGTCTAGGATAACTAGACCTTAATTGGCTAAATGTTGAAACTAGCGTTAGAGTCATTTGCTACTTTAGTGTAGTTTATAACTTTTGTGAATGTTTTTTTCTTCTGCCTGCTGCAATGGTTGTCTCGTCATTATCAATCGTTCACCGATAAACCAAGGGGCTAGCTTGATCTGTACCAAGCAGTTACATTATTTGCATCTTTCTAATGGCTTGAATTGAAATCAGCGAGTGCTGAGCGAAAGCAGAAAAAAAATTAGTGTAGTTTTAATAAAAATGGTTTGTTGAAGTTTTTTGATTTTTCTACTTTCTTTTCTAAGTTGTTATAAAAATTAACCGCTGCATATTTTGAAAGATCGATTTATTTTGCAGCTTTTTAAATTTTTGCCAATTTTTTCTTTTTTCCATCTCTATTAATTCTTCGAGCACCAAATGTAATCATTGAAAAAAACAAGAGAAAAATTTTTTTCATTTTTTTTTAATTGTAAATGAATATTCTTCTATTATTTTGTGCTAGTTTCAACGATAGTGGGAACAGGAAAGAACGGGGAAATTTATGGATGGTTGAAAGTTCGTTTTACAAATTTGACAACTCTAATAGTTCTTCCTTTCTTTTTTTCGTTTTTCTGTCTGACTTTTTGCTATTTTTGTGTTCTTAAATTTTTTTTTTGCTTTTTTGATTAATAATGATTAACTTCAGTAGTTTATCTTGAGTTTTGTTGGTCGCTTTTCGTTTGTCTTTAGTTTTGTTTTTTTGCTCTATTTCCTACTCACCTCATTTCGTTCTTGAACATCATCTTAGTTGCACTTGTGTTCTTTTTTTGCTTGTTACTTATATTCTACATAAAGAAGTTAAGCAGCTTCTGCATACTTCTTCATATTCATATTTAAACCATTTTACTTCTTTTTCCTCTTGTCATCTTCACCTCACAATTCAAATTTTTATGAAAAAAATTAAATTTAAAAGGGTAAGAGAAAGCATTTTTTAAAACATGACTGACAAAGAGCGCAAAGTGGAAGACGTAAAAAAAAGCAAAAGTTGTGGCTACTTTTTTTTTTTTT